AGTTTTTACCGCACTTCAGCACCTGGAACATCATTTTTGCTTAACACAATAAAAACAACCATAAACAAACAATTTTCCAACTTTCCTTCTGCAAATACATATAACCTATTAACAACGCCATTGACATCAACATTGATTCCGGCACCACTGCCAGTCAGATTGATGTGATCCCTCTGTCCTTTTTTTTTTCTTATATCTTTATTAAGGAGACTTTGAGCCCTGGGCTGGTTCGTCTCCCCCTGTGTCCTTTTTATTCCACGATTGCTACTGTCAAATCGACCAATCAGCAACTGGCTCGGATTTGACAGCAAATTGGCTCAAAATCGTTACCCGTCCCAGTTTGAAATCAGCTTATCTTCCATGTCATATGCTAGATCACAGCTATACACTGAACGAAAACATCTGCCACACTTTGAATGATTATTGTATTGCTCGAGCCCTTTAACAATATTGTATGTATATTATATTGTATTGTATATTATATTGTATGTATATTATATATATTGTATATTTATGCTTTTGAATTTCGGATGACCGTCTTATGGTTGAATTCGTCATCAACTGATGAGCATCCATATGACGTTCATCCAAATAAAGGATGATATTTATTCTAAAATTGTCTGTAAAATATACAGCTCTACAGATGATATTACAGTCTGTAATAGACAACAATTCAGGATAGGATGACTTGCAAATTTCCATATTGAATTGCCATGAACAGCAATTTATCATGGATACAAAAATAAAGTGATGGTAAAGGAATGTTCCTCCACCACAAAATAGACAATCTTCTGTTTCCACACTTTACCAATGTTCGTACCACCTCTGATAGCGATGACTACGTTTTCACCTCGTTTGTCAGCCCAGATCAGCAAATGACGTTGAATAGAATTATTTACATCCTCGTTTTGGATGATTTGCGTTATGCAATACCATATGCATTTCAATTTGGGATGACAATCATTCTATCGAGAGCATAAGGTTTTTCAATTGAGGACCGTTCGCTTCTGGTATCAATGTTCATCCTGTATTGGAGAGGATCATCATGTGATTACAAAACAACCGTCATCCGGTAGCAGCTATCATTCGAAAAAGTTATTCCGATGTTTCGATTTGAATGGTCTGAGGTTTCATTCTAACAGAGAATGATGTTTTGGGACAGTGTAGCAAATATGATGCAGTATCAAGTATGTTTTGCGGACATCCCTTCAAGAAGCAGGCAGCATTAAATTGCATAGCTTTCCTAAAGTTTCGGATCCCAGATACCGCAAGTGGATAAGAGATTTGAAAACGTTGATTGTAATGGCGAACGTTATAGCACAGACAATCATACATAACACTCACAATCACATTCTTCGCAATTGAGGTTTTAGTTGGGAATTTGTTCACAGTGGTCTGAAGCGTTAAGCAAGCCACCGCATTTGAATGTATTGGGGATGCCAGCTCTTCTTCATATCAATTTAGTAGATTAGTGCAGCAACAAAAATAAGTAGGTCCTGTTCACGATGGGAATTCCGCAGCAATCACATATCAGCCTCAACTGCCGACAACAAATAGCGCATCCAAATCAATTAGTTCCCCCTCTGCCGAATCGGGGATGTCTTTGAAAGTCGGGTAGTCATAATGATTTGTTACTGTTATTTATGTCGAGGAATAAAAATATTTATGGCGTAAGGCGACGTGATTAATTTGAAAATACTGATTTTTATCTGAAAATATTTAATTGCACGATTGAAAAGACCACACGTAATTTCAAAAATTTGATTTAACTAAAAAAACATATATTTTTATTTCAACACTGTCAGACTTTCCATTGGACAGTAGAACAATTGGTTTTGAAAGTTTCAACTTTTAAAAGTAATTGCTGGAAAACTTTCGTTTTGACAGTTCATTGACTTTCGTTTTGAAAGGTAGCTGCTTTCTACCAAAAAGATCCAAGGCAAAAATGTAATTATACCAATGACTTTTAGTCTCAGGATTACGTCTTTCGGCAAAAAATTGGAGGCGCAACATAAAAAAAAAAACATTATTCGACCGCGTTACGAAAAGTGGTCAGGTTTGACCACTTATAACTCTATCAATAGCGGATGGATTTTAATTTTAAACAAGCCAATCGATTGAAAATTTTTCTTCAAAACTACACAAATATCGAACTGTTGGAATGGTGATCAAAATTATCACAGATTGCCTGCAAAAAGCGCTTCCCTTAACACAGATTTCAAAATCGAATTCCTTAAGCCGCACCGCTACTGATCGGATTCAGTAGCTGTATGTCGGCCAGCCTCATCTGTGTTGAACACCCTAATAGCTCAGCATTACACGGTCAAACGACAAAACGATCCTTTTCAGGACAACCATAATTTTTTTTAAAGGTAATTTCTGAACATTTTTCAACCGTCATCAATCGGATGTCAGTTTCCTTATGTTTAAATATAATATACCATGTATCTTTAAGGCAACATTGGGGGTACAATTTCAAAAACCAAAGTCGGTCGCGGCATGAAAGTGGTCGGATTCTGATCCAGAGATGATCGATTTTAATTCTTAATAAGCCAATCGATAGGAAATTTTTCTACAAATCTGTTAAAATTAAAACTATTTATTTTCAAGAGTACATTGTTGAAAATTACACGAATGTGCAACTGTTCCTGTGAGACTTAAAATTATCATCGATTGCCTGTTAAGGGGGTATTCCCGATCTTTTTTTTCAAAAAATCAATTTTTTTTTTCACGTTTTTTTGTACTTAAGACTATATACTTTCATCCCCCCAAGCCGTTTTCCGATCAGCGAATTCGGTGTCCAGACATAGCTGACTAATGGTAAGAACCCCCAAATGGTTTTAACTAAAGTCAAAACTTTAAACGCGTTTTTCTCGAAACCACATTTTTTTTATCGGGCGAAGATTTTTCTCAGAAACTATAAGAGATATTGACTTGAATCTTTGCGCATTTTGTTCCTTATTAAATTCTTTGGAGCTTCTCCCACTTTCAGCCAAAAATATTAACATTTAACATTGTTTGAAGCACCTTAAAGCTGCAAAAAAGCGGGCTAAAAATCGCCTGTTTTTTCATATGGCCGCCATTTTGTTAATTTGCTAGATTTTTTGCTGCCAACGGGAGAAGCTCCAGAGAATCTTATGCAGATTATTATTTCATCACGAAATCTGTTTCAGATGAAGCCGTTCCAGAGAAAAGTCTTCGCCCGTCCAGGCGTTTGCGGCGAACAGGGGTCTGTTTGCCGCCATTTTGTGACGTCAATAATGTCTTTTTTTATGTCGAAAAAAATTTATTTGTAAACTTTAATGTTAAATAAACAAGAATCCCAAAGAGTTAGGCGCATTACTATTCATTTTCCTTGAAAAAAAATAATTGAAAAACAGGCCGAAAAAAGGCAAAAGATTGGGAATACCCCCTTAAAAGCGCTTTTCCTAACACCGATTTTTAAATCGAATTCCATCCGGTCTCACTGAACGGTGTTTATTTAATCCCCGCGTGTGGTGAGTGGTGGTGTCCGGTCATCATCAGTACACATTTTTCTCCAGTACACAACGAAAGACTTCCCACAAGCAGCTAGCTATCAAGGCTGCTCTCAAGAGCCCTCGATTCACCGAAAAAGGAGGAAGAAGTCGCACCGCTACCGATCGGATTCAGTAACTCGTCGTGAGTCGCTGTGGGCGCCATCCAAGTGCGTCACCCTCTTTCCAAACAACAAACAACCCACCAGCCTCATCCGTGTTGAACACCCTAATAGCTCAGCATTACTCAACCATCACGACAAAACGGTGTTCTTCAGGACCACCAGCTTACCGTAGTCTACGTCATTGTCATTGTCTTGTTCACAACCCCACCAAATTTTTCACAACCTTTTTCGCTAGCAAAATTTCATGATTTATCTGTGTACTAGGCTTAACTAGGCATAATATAGCCAATTTAAAATAATTGATTTTTCGGTTCGTCAATCGTTTAATCGATTATTCGTAAAAAAAATCGACACCACTAGATGGATGGGAACCGTCATTTTGACATCCACCGTCAATGTCAAATATAAGGGCCGTTTTAAAATCATAAAACAATTTGAAAGGAACCGGGGATAATCACAAATGACGTCCCTTCAGTAACTGAAAAAAACAGGAGTGCTGACCGGTTGAATACCGTGCCTTTACTGACTGACTAGGCTATTTGAGAACCCTGATTAATGGAATTAATTTTGTTTGAAAGTTTCTTAAAATACAATTCTTCAATTCGCCCTTTTGACATATCGCTTGCCTTGCTACGGTACTGTAGCTGCACCATGGTCTCGATATTATTTCATTGTTCAGGATTTACAACTTATTACAGAAAATCGTAACCCTTCTTCGGCCTTATTAGTGACCAAGCGTGCCCATTAGACTAATGCAAACGGTTCCAAATAGGGTTCTAATAAGCCTCCAAAAATTTGAACTCATTTAGTAAGAAACTGACTTGGCACAAACCATGTGAAGTTTACATGGAAATTACTATGGAAAACCCGAAGCATTTCTTCATATCTATCTTATAATTCACCATATCACTTTGCTTTAAAAAAATCTCGAAGTCAATTTTCACAGCTACAACTTTATTGAAGATCACTTTTTGATAAAATGTAGGAAACAAAAGTTATTAATGATTCAAACCACCGATGTTTTTTTGATTATGCTCAGTCAACTGTTCAGCAGATAACATTGGTGTTTCTGGTGCGTAGAATAGAGCACAAAAATAATGGCTACTATGTCACCCTGCACAACCCAGTGTTTCCCACAAAACAGCTGCTTGGCCATGGCACAAGATTATCAGTCTCTTAAACAATTAACAACTATCTAACTAACTGTATTCAGAAAAATTGTGGCTGAGAAAATTCTAGTCTAGAGTTCATTACCCATTGATGTAATTGAAAGAAATCAATTTCAGTTAACCACATAATTGATCGGTGTCCAATCAGAGTAAAATCCAATCAAATTAATCACATCACATCTACCACGAACCTTACAGCATCGGCACTGTCCCCGATGGCCTGCCTTCCAGTGGTGCCGTTGATGATCTCGCCCGCAGTAGCTGACTTGTTGACAACCGGCACATCGCTGCCCAGCTGGAATGCCACACACGGCGCACTGACCACCACCGTTGCAGTCGTTGTCGGCTGTCATTAGGGCCCAATTATACTAGGTATACAGTTCTCTGGAAAATCCTCCCCTGTTTGTCGTTCGTAATTTGAGAATTTTGGACCACTGACCGAGAGAGCAAAACCTAAAGCACTGACTGCGATGCTAAGCGCGCACTAAGTAGACTGTCTAGCATGTGATATGCTGTGACTGCTTGCCTGCCCGTTTGGGGCTCAACGAACGCATGAACGGACGTGAAGATGGACACGCTCGGACGAATCACCTGTCAGGCCAATCCTACGGGAATGGGGATCATGACACATGCTTACTCTTACATTATTTCGAATTTCGCTAGCTCCGCTTTTGGCGAAAATGTCAACGAAAGCGTCACGGACGGGAGCGTGCCGAGGGGAAATGCTCAATGTTTTGCTTACAAGCAGCTGCCAAGTCGAAGAAAAAAAACGAAAATCATGTGAGGGCACCCCTCGTCACGCGGTTATTGATTATGTTTTGGATCAGAATTTCCAAAAATAGACCGAAACGGAAAAGATCAAAATTGCGATTTGCGATGCCAGCTGCGTGTGTATTAAAAAAATAAAAAAACCGCTTTCATTCGACGAAAGAGCAAAGTTGAATTATTTGTTTTCCCTTGAGCCACCCACAATCGGTGCCTAAATACCTACTTCCAAAGCGATGAATTTTAGTACCGGTTGGAAACCACCACCTGGCTTGATCCGTTATTAAATTTGCAAACAAGAACGACTCTCGGTCTAGAACTGACACCGAGGGTACGCGCAAAACAGGAATTGGCAAGAATTTTAATATGATTCCTAATTAAAATTCAGTGCAAATTGTTATTTGCTTTCATTACTGTACCCACACCGGCGGCAGTTGGACTGCGGTGGATAGATGAAGCCGGGGCGGTGCGATCCATCCATTCCACCTTTACCCGAGTGAGAGTTTCCTCAATCTTCCACTTCACACACAAATTCAGATGAAAAGTATGTTCCTAGTACAGGCTTGATTTAACAAGCGCTATTTTTAATATATTTAACATTTTCTCGCAAGTTGACGTTTGACGTTTCGGCGGCGGACGGATATGCGGCGGAGTAGGTCAAGCCAAAAATGGTCGTCATCAGCCAGTAGAATACAGTCAGCAGCCCGTGTGTGAGAGAGAGATAGAGTGAGGTTGGCATAGAAACTGACGAGATACTTTGCAAAAAGTGACCGAAAATATTATGCTATCACCTAGGTACCCATGCATGGTTGGGGGAGGTGTTCTATTCGAGTTGGGAAGTAAAGTAGTCATATGTATGAGTAATGTCACGGATACACTTGTATGACAAACTAGTAAGTAGTAGAATTTCGTTTAATTTTCCATTGATTATGATTTTACATATTTCGTTCACTTCAATTGATCAATTCCGATGCTCAAGTTTTGAACCCACCACAGAATGCTTTTGGCGTTACTGTATATGGACGATCAAATGTAAAATACTGTGGTAGCCACAGCACAGTTCTGTCAAAACCTCAGCATTTTTATTGATCCATTGATATTGGTCGAAGCGCTTCTTGTGTTTTTGAAACATTCATATCACGCGTTCTTATTGACTTCATTCGGTAGCTTTCGAACTAAGTATCGTACCAAACGTTGAATTGACTTGTTAATGCCGAAATCATCAAAATTGGCGATTAGACCGAAGTAGTTCTCTACAGTTGAAAACCTACCTAACTACGAATTACTTAACCTACTTAGCAAGATTGCGTGTGATCTGCTGATTTGATCTCAGACAGGCGTCTCTGAACCTTTCGAGGCTGAGCGTACTCCGCTCCTCTAGTGTCTGAAGATCAGCCAGGCCGTGGATCTTAGAATTTCGAGTATGCGGGGGGCTGTTGAGGATCATCCCAAGGATCTTGTTCGGGATCCTGTGAAGTTTAAGGTGATGGCACTTAGCACTGCGCTTTGATCAGAGAGCGTCATCATTGTGCCAGGTTTTTCGTGGCACATTTCGAGTATGAGAGGGTGATTGTAGTTTGCTCAAAAGTGCCTGAGTAAAGTGCAGTTTGGGAATAACTTCACTTAGCAACCGATGAACCATTCTGATGGCCCACATTAGCTTGCAGGTGCCGTGGGTTGGCAGGGTCCAATATGGGACAACATGATGTTTTTAAAGTACTATCAGCTAAAACTGTATTTTTGAGCTTTATCTCTATACACTGAAGTCTTTTTTTACACGGTTTTTTTACACGGTTTTTTTTTACGACGATTTTCGAAATAACGCGGTTTTTTTATTACACGGTTTTTTGAAATAACGCGGTTTTTTTTACACGGTTTTTTTTTAAATAACGCGGTTAAAGAGCCAAAACATTCTAAGTGTTTTCTGAGGAATGGACTTAGCCAAAAAAAAAACAAACTTGGAAGTGTACTTCGAGTGGATTCACCGGTTTTTTTATTACACGGTATATACATATTTTCGGAACGGGAACGACGCGTAGAGGCCGGAAATCGATGATTCATGCCATTTTGGAATTCAAGATGGCGGCTTCCGGTTTTGTGATAAACTGTCAAATAGTCAACAATATGGATATTTTCGGAACCGAGATCACATTCAGAGGCCGGAAATCGATGATTCACGCCATTTTGGAATTCAAGATGGCGGCTTCCGGTTTTGTGAAAAACTGTCAAATAGCCAACGATATGGATATTTTCGGAACGGGAACGACGTGTAGAGGCCAAAAATCGATGATTCACGCAATTTTGGAATCTAAAATGGTGGCTTCAGGTTTGTGAATGTTTCAAAAAAATGTTATGCAACAAATTTTATTTAACTTTTTTTTCGATAATCTGTAATTAATCTTCTTATATTTACAAGAACTTCATAAATTCAATGTTGAACAACATGTGATACCAGTGACTTGGTTGTGGAATGCATGTAGAACTAGAGGTTATACAGGTAGAAGTGGTAATGGCCTGCCGAGATTTGTTCAGCCGGCTCGGTAGAAAAAAACTAAGTGTGTGGATAGTACTTAACATAACAGGAACTGGGGTTGAAGTTGTCGCTGACCGAATAGTCAAAGTCATGAAACACAGCGAACAAAGAATCCTTGTCACTGAAATCGATGTTTAGCCAATAAGACATTATGGATACGTAGAAATAACAACCTTTGAAATGTTCCGAAAACTACGTAGAAGTGGAACATTTATTTATGTTTGAGGAGTTTCGTAAAAGTTAAGGGAACATTATTTTATTTCATTATTGATCGAGAACCTCTTTATAATTTCAAGGCACTTTATGTATTAAATTTTTGCTTTGAGTGTGGGATTTGTAATTTCAGAATAATTTGTATAATTTTCATACTTACCTTACTACTTACCAATCAGGCTAAGGTCTTGTTGTCCTCTGCTGTCCGAAGAAGTCGTCTCCACTCTACTCGATCCATGGCCACAGTTCACCAGCCTCGTAGTCTGCGAAGGGTCCGCCGGTCGCCTTCTACTTGGTCGATCCACCTTGCCCGCTGCGCGCCTCTTCTTCTTGTTCCTGTTGGGTCGCTTTCTAGAACCAATTTCACTGGGTCGTCGTGCGGAATTCTTACGACGTGCCCAGCTCACCGTAGTCGCCCAATTTTTGCAATGTGGATGATGGATGGTTCTCCCAGCAGCTGGTGCAATTCGTGGTTCATTCGCCTCCTCCACGTTCCGTCATCCATCTGCACTCCACCGTAGATGGTACGCAACACCTTCCGTTCAAAAACACCAAGGGCGCGTTGGTCCTCCACGAGCATAGTCCAGGTATCGTGGCCCTAGAGGACCACCGGTCTAATCAGCGTCTTGTAGACAGTCAACTTCGTGCGGCGGCGAATTTTATTCGACCGGAGCGTCCTCCGGAGTCCAAAGTAGGCACGATTCCCTGCCATAATGTGTTTTTTTATTTCTCTGCTGGTATCATTTTCGGCGGTCACCAGTGAGCCCAAATACACGAACTCATCGACCACCTCGATTTCGTCACCGTCAATCTGAACTCGGGGTGGGAAGCTAACATTGTCTTCCCTAGAACCTCTTCATTTAATGTATTTTGTCTTTGATGCGTTGATGGCAAGTCCAATCCGTCTAGCTTCAGCCTTCAGTCTGATGTACGTTTCCGCCATCATCTGAAAGTTCCGTGCCATAATGTCAATGTCATCGGCGAAACCAAGGAGCTGGATGGACTTCCTGAATATCGTGCCACTCGTGTCTATCCCAGCTCTTCTGATCACACCTTCTAACGCGATGTTGAACAGCAGACACGAAAGTCCATCACCCTGCCGTAACCCCCTTCGAGATTCAAAGGGACTCGAGAGTGTCCCCGATACTCGAACAACGCACATCACTCGATCCATCGTCGCCTTGACCAATCGCGTCAGTTTATCCGGAAGTCCGTACTCGTGCATAATCTGCCATAGCTGATCTCTAATTTTTACGGTGTGGATTCTTGGATCCGACCCCAAAGAGCTAGGACAACCTGGTAATGTATGATATTTTTTTATGTTCTTCTTTGAAGTTCTTGTCGATGTTTCCAGGTAGGTGGACTTCAACAATATGCCGCTTCAAATTCTTAAAACGATTATAGAGAGCACCGGACATTTGCGGCATTGCTAGTTTTGATCTTATGTATTTCCCTGAAGTGAGGTATCAATTCTTCCACGTATGCAGTAACTATTACTCCGATAAAAAAAAACCAATACCTCTCAATTTTCTTTTCTCGACTTCCCTGGGCATAGAGTATCATTGTGCTTGCCACACAATATACAAATTCATGCATTGGTATTGGCATCGGAAGCTCTCAATTAATAACTGTGGAAGTGCATTTAGAACACTAAGTTGATAGCACGCAATAAGCTAATATGCGCTAAGCAATTAGTTTAAAATGCGAATAAGAAGAATAAGAAGAAGACCTCTCAATTTTCGATACGTTCCCACATCAACTTTGGCTGCAATTTGCTCCATTTTTCCAAGTTTTCTTCAAAATTTTAAATCCCAGTTTTAGACACCGGAAAGATGAACTTCGTGTTTATAACATTTTCACAAATGCCATTTTTATTTTTGTTTTGAGTCAATTAACAACCTGAAAACGCATAATTGAGATCC